TCGGGATAGCAGCGCCGGCGTCAATCGATGGAGAGGTAATGGGACTAGGGACGGCTGGCACCAAACCGCGTTGGAAAGGTTAGGATCGATGGTCGCCATGGCTCGGATTCTGGAGTAACAGGAGTTTAAACAAGAAAGACGAAATCGCTCAACGACAACGATGAAAAAGTCAATAACGGAGGAGAAAAGAGCATGCAAAACCGCTCTTAAAAAAAAAAAAGAAAAATCATACAACACACCAGGTATCACGGTACCAGACAATCGAAGGGGCTCCTGAGAAGGTCAATAGCACAACTTATAGATTTGGGTGAGGGCCTTAGCTGAATTGCGAGATGATCGTAGAGCACCTTGGAAGGCCCTCTCTTGAAGGGGGCTGCACGCGTCACATGAAACAACCGAATCCGAAGGGGAGCTGTGTACACCCAACCCAATGAACAAGCAGAAAAAGACTGACTGAGGCTCCATTCGTGGTAATCTGGGCCAGTCAGATTTTCAGACGATGTTCTTTTAGAATGCGTGTTACTTCAGAGTTCAGACGAAGCGCCGAGAAATCGTTCGGTTGCTGACGGTCGCATGACAGTCCAAACATACTTGCTACCCAGGGATGAAACCCAGCGCGCATGCAATGTCCATTCGTCCAATTGGGCTCCGGGTCATTGAGCCGTTCGCCGCTTACTTAGCAAGCTGAACACGCAAAGTTGTACAGAGCTACAAAGCGACAGCCCACGACCTGTGGTGTTTTGTCGATCGAAATGCCCTTGCGTTGTTGTAGATAACTGCCAGCCATTGGATGACATATGCAGATCTTGTTTCGAGTACAGGTTACGCCAGATGGCTTTATAAGTAACATGCCAACTTGGAGTTGTGAAATCAGACCAAATATTCGCTTTCACTCTTAATAAAAGAATGAAATAGGCACTGGATACATACTACTGACACTGCCACGACACAATGTCTCCAGTGACAGCAAGCTCATATAAGTGATCGGACTGCCTAAGAGTATCCATGCTTGCTCTCACGCTATACTCAGACACACAGCCTCAAGCTCGTCAGGCAGGATACCGAGCAGCCACGGCATCATATTCCTCCTGCGTCAAAGGCGTGACGCTTCCGTGCTTCAAGCCGCGCGGAAAGCCATCTCTCGACGCGGGCGCCCAGGCTCCAGAGGCGACGTTCGACGTCACAAAAGGGACGTACTCTGTGTAGTTGTCGAGGAAGAGGTGATAGCGACCGGCAATCAGGTTATCGGCGTAGGAGGCCGGGCCCTCCAATGGGCTCTCGGGCCGCACGTACCCCGGCACCCGCGTCCAAGTGCCGAAGAGGCCCTCCGTCGTCGTCTCCTGATACACCTGATTGACCGTTTCGTTCTTCAGGAAACGCGCGTACGCGCCTGGGGCGCCAAGATATTGAAACTCCTGGTCGATCAGCGGCGTGTCAGGCGGGGGGTGGTAGTCCCCGCGGCCTGCTGAAGCTGAAAAACTCGCGCGTCGTGGCGTACCGAATGCGCCCGAGTTTGGGTTGGCCAGTGTGCTCCGTGTCCGCGGCTGCGTAGTGCCGCGAGGCCCAGAAGACAAAGTACTGCTGCGTTTCATCGTCCCAGACGGCGGACGGCGCCCAAGCCATGCCGCCGGTCGGATCCTCGATGCTGTTGTGATCGTCAGTCGAGCAAGCGGGATATTTTCGGGAGCGCTGTTCGGCAATCTCACATCCTCAGGGACGGCTCGGACCAGTCGACCAGGTTCTTCGAGGACCAGATGACGAGGCCCAGGCTCCCCTTTGTGGTTGCTTGGTACCACGAGAAACCCTCGGCATTGATGTCGAGATCTGTGTCACAGATGATCAGCATTACAGGTTCAAGGCAGCGCGACGTCGTCCGTGACTTGCCGGTGGCAATGGTAAAGTACTCGGTTCGTTCCGAGTTGGTGGTAAGAAAGATATCCCTGACGCCCTTGGTCCCAACATTGGACGTGAGAACAGCATTCCCGTCGTTGAGGAACCGGAACCGAGAGGCATCATTGCCCTCCGACAAGTGCCACTGCACCTGAGGATTCGGGTCGCTGAAAGTGGAGACGAGATATCCCACATACTGCGGCGGCGCAGAAGAAGGCCTGGCCAGGCCCGTGCCGAAGCACAGGCTCGCGGCGATGAGCTGAGACGTGATGCGCATGGCGGCCGAGTCAAGAGAGGTTTGGTGAGCGTTTCAACAAGACCAACATTATGCCCGCCCTCGAGAAGGCAGATGCTGACTATATGACGACGCGCGTGGCAGGGTCCGAACTGTGCCATTGTCATGCCTGGGGCGGTCAACGTGATTGGTGCGGCAAGTGTTGCAAGTGCCGTTCGAGTGAAGCTTTCCCCGCGATCTGCAGATATCCCCGGATGCACGAAATGCGGAGACGATGCGCCGGCTCACCATTGGAACGGGTAGCAATACCGTGATTTGCCTTGATTGACCTAACACCACGACAAGGTTTATTCGTCATTGTGCCGACTTGGCACGGAGGAGACGACGGTGCGGACGACCGCAGGTTGGGTTCTTCGTAATTCTCCAACATTATCGGCTAACAATCAGGAGCACCAAGCTTTGAGACAGTCCATCAACCCCCATTAGGCCGTGTTGTATCAGCGACATCCTTTCATCATGAAGCTACCGCACCGGGAAGGTGACCTGACGTCGGTATGCTGGGTAGAATTGTGGTGTGGCTACTCAGGTTCCAGTTAAGATTGTCCATGTTCTAGTTCCAGACATTCCAGACAGATAGTTGAGCTCTCGAGGGTATAGTAGAACTCATAATTGCCAGGTTATATCCTCTTTCGCATTGGTCGTGTCATGATAAAGTTGAGGATCTTAGGCATTATCTCCCGGGCTATGTGTTTGCTATGTGACATCTTAAGTAATCCAGTCATTACTGCTTGCATATTTTAAGTCGATCTAAATCGGCGTTGTGCTGCGGCGCTTTTAGCTGAACAAAACATTCTACATCAAGACTCCCGTGCCTGCTTTATTTTCTATGGCAATAGGCTGTCTGCGTAGGATCGAAGCATATTGCTTATGTATACCAGTCTCTGGTTCACATTTTCTTTCTCACGTGACATGCAAATCTCCCTCGCATCTTTCCATGAAATAGGACGTCCCCAGGCACGCTCCTTCGTCAAAGTCCCAGCTTGACAAGCAAGATGGAACTCGCACCTCGCACCGCTGCCGCTAGATGCATTTCTGCCGTGGGCGTTGTCCCTTGCATGGCAGAACAGGAGTTCAGCAAATATCTCCTTGATGATCAATCGGCCCAGGTCGGCAACACGGTCATCATCGCCGACCTCTGTGACCTCGCTAATATCAGGTGTTGTCCCAAAATGCCGTGCTGCATGCCCATGGGGGGACCAAGGGGTAATTTTCCGTCATTCGCCCGTGGGGTGCCGGCGCCAGCTCCTCCCATGGGACAACCAAACTGTTGGAACACCCGCCATTTGTAAGGGTTGCCAGTCTGCAAGATAGATGAGTCTTACTATCGCTCGTCGGAACGACGCCCAGAAACCGCATTCATAAGGACCCCCTGACCTCCATGTCGGCTCTGCTCCAGGGTGGTATCAAGTTCTCCACGATGTCCAAGTCATGTCCAAAGAGTGCCTCTAATAGCGTTGCGTGCAAGTTGGCGTCTCCCACTCACGGGCGTGGCATTAGGTAGGACCTCCTCCGTGTAGTCGGGCACTCTGTGCCGGATGGCTGCTGCAGCAGTTAGTTTCTTCGGATGACATTTACCCGGCGGCCGAAAAACCCTGGCGGGACTGGCCAAGCTCGCCACGCCTGGCAGCATCATGTGAACTATGACAACAGTACCACAGCCACGCTGGCACGGGTTGAGCGGCGGCTAGCGGGCCGAAGTCAACGGACTCCAAAGGGTCCAACTCTGGTTCGAAGGATCAGTGTGCCAAATTATCCCGCCTTCTGATAATCCGGGGCAGGTGTACGGAGAATTCATGAAATTAGATGACGTAGGAAAACACAAGCTTTTGCAAAGTGGTGGGATCATGTCTCAACAGGGAAAACCAAGGGTCGCACACGCCTCAGAAGCTTAACTATCACGAGACCCAAGCCTTGAAGAACAAGATCCCAGCTTTGGCCTGCCTAGATCGCGATGGAGCGTCGCTGACGAACCTGCTTGACAGCGAATGTTTCAGGTGATGAACAGCTGGCGCGGGCTGATGGGTGGATGCCCAATGGACACAACCTTGGGGTCTAGGTTGAGGCGGCCAGCGCTGTCTATGTAGCAGCGGTTGCGCGGTTGTACACTGCCTTCAAGAGCATGTACACCTCACTAAAGTGCAAGTCTCCCTATCAATGATTCTGCGCTGGCAGACCTGGGTGCCCGCGTGCCGGGCATCGGGTAAGCAAAGATAAAACGAAACACGCATGCACAAAGTCAGGAAAGAAGAGAAGGTCGGGCCATGCACGGGGACCAGTGACCAGCCGGTCACTCGACCGCCAGCCCGTACGACGACATTCAGGCCTGCCTAGTCCCAGCAAGTGGATTGGCGGTGTTCGCTGCACCAGGTCCCGAGAACTCGTATCAGCAGCCCTCGAAAGGTAGATTTGTTCGATCGGGGATGACGAGGGATGATCAGTAGAGCACGGCCGCGTGGAGGTCGGGGAAGCAAAGCGAGGGAGGGTGGCGCAACAACAACAAGACGTTTGTTTGGTAAGCCGGGCCAGACCAGGAAATGTCTCGATAGAAAGAGGCGGCGAGACCTGCCACGTACGGGGGGGGGGGCGGTGACGGCCTGGGAGGGCGCCCAGAGAGCGGTCTTCAGGCATCTAGGGTTCTCGCTGCCGTATCGATTCTGGTTTCGAGGCGCCGTGCTAATGGTCCGGGGAAGGCGACCGGCAGCAGCAGCGCGGCAGGGAGGCGCCAGGACGTGGGCGGCGAATGCAGGGCATAGCGGCGGTGACTGGGTTGCCGTGTTCTGTAAGATGGGTACACTTGGTCATCGTGACTTGCTGTGGTTTGGCAGCCGATCGTTGGTGGGTGGCCATGATAGGCAAGTTCGCAAAGGATACACGGCGGGTGATGGCCTGGCAGCCGGGTGCGATGCGCCGAGGCAAAGCAGCTGCCGAACAGGGCGTGATGGATGATGCTGATGCTGATGCTGAGGTCGATGTCGGTAGATGGCGAGTAAAGGTAGGTACTTCGGGATGGCCTCGTAGCCTGGATTAGGGAAGGCGAGACCGAAGTGCACTCAGCCTTGGGGCTGGGCGGTACCTTGATGCAACGTCGATCTGGGTTTGGGGGGGCTCATGAGGATGGTGAGGGATTGCCAACACATCGGTTTGGGTCCTGGTGACCACGGAGCGTATGCAAGTTTGGGCGGTGAGAGGCGTGGAAGGCGAGACGGCGAGAGACGAGATGGTGTGGTGAGGGGTGTGGGGGGATCGATTTGGGGGGGGAGGGGGGCATTTACCTAAGCCTGCCACCGTAACAGACGGAGAGTCCTGCATGACCGCCTGTCTATCTGCAGGTTTCTCGATCCCAGAGTACGTACGGGCTGGATATTCGAATTAAATTGGAATATTATTTTCTCTCAGACGCCAATACCTTTGATCCAACCTCTGGGGGCTGCTCAATGGATCTGGCACGCTGTTTGTTTTCTTTTGCGCAGCTGGCGATCGGTACACCAACCGCTCCTCTCTTCACCTTTCGTCGGCCCGCGGGTGGCGTGGAATGGCCTGGCTCCGGCGCTGCCCGCGGTGCTCTCCCGCCTGTTAGCTTCCGTCAGTGTACCCAGGTCCCCTGTAATCTGCCCGATGCTGGGAGAGGCAGGCCTCTAGGTACCATAGCGCTGTGCATCATTTGCAATGTCGAAGAAAGACAATGCTCGTCCTGTGGCGAGCACCATCTTTGTCACATATTGTCCGCGGCAGAACATTCGATTTCATTATTTTCTCTATTTTCCTGGAATAAGTCATCTCCGCGCGGCACAAGTACCGCCCCCCATCGCCATCCAATGGATGCCGTCCGACATCATGCACGATAGTCCATGTGTCCTGGTCGACCTGATAGACTGCATGCAGCCCGAGCATCCATCATGTGAGTCAGCTGGACAGGCACGTCGGACCGCCGAAGGGGGGCGCGGAGAACCCCTACAGGCTCGTTTTTTTAGCATCCGTCCACTGTCCTCCGCGCTCCCCGTCAGTGTTGCGATACCTAAAGTACCTTACCTACACCTAAGCCCTCGGTCCACCAGCCACGTCGACTTCCTAGGGTCCCCAGGCCGGAGCTGCTGGATTCCGCCTGCACTGTCTGCACCGCCTCACCAAACCACCTGTGGTGCTGACGTTCCAGCCCCAGCTCATTCTGGCCTCTGGGATTGACAGACAGCCTATGCCTAGCCTTCGATGCCTCGCCCCCGACAGCAAATCGCAGAGACCGTGTCTCTGCTGTGTCGGGCGTATTGCTGGGTTGGGGGATTGGCTGAGACTACGACTGATGACATGCGCTCGCTGCTTGCCTATGCTTCTGCTGGCGGGCTGACCAAAAACATCAAGTCTTGCAGCATGGGTTCACACGTTCGAGAATAATGGATTAATTTATTCGAAATATTCATGAATATATCTGAATGTATATCTTGAATCTCACAGCAAGAAGCAAGATCGACATGGCTCCCACACCACCACGCTCTTCCACCAAGCTGGGAAATAAGGCTGTCAAATGCCCCTCCGTCTCACAGCGCCCCTGGCACCATCCCACCCTACACTGGGGTGGGTTGACTGGGCGCTCCGAAGCATCGTGGGCCCTCAATCTTCGATCCCATCGGGCGTCTGGGTCATCCGACCAATTGACATCATAGCAGATCCCTCGCCGCCAATCTCCTCCTCCCATGGCGATCAGATTCACCATCGAATCTCGTCCCGAAACAATGAAGAAGAACCTCGCGAAACTGAAACACAACATGTGGTCTTGACGGTTCAACCACACCTGCCAGAACCCTCCCATCTCGATCCCTCTAAGTATTCTCCAAATCACTGATCGCGATTGGCATCTCATCCTCCTGACAGCGCTCTCCTGACCCGCCTGCTCTGCGCAGTGACGTCGTCTCCTTCCTTTTCCCAAAAGACGTCTTCTACCAACGAGAGCAATGAATCCCGCCAAACGCATTCTTCTTCCGCCCGCTTTGACGGTGCGATCTAGCACCCCCGCGCGCCCCCTCCCGCTATGGGACTCCCCGGTTTCCTCTCGAGGTTTATAGAGGAGGGACCAGGGTGGAAGGATTTTTGCTTATACGCGTGCGGCGAAGACCATTAGAGTTCGTGCCGAGCCCAGTTGCCGTCTCGTCCGTGTGCCACCCCCGGCTTTCTGGCACCGGTCCGGGCCATCCGCCAGGGCCCAGACAACGCACGGGGATCCGGAACCCCCCCGGGCGTGACGGCGTTGCTTTTTTCTCCTGAAATGGCGTGTACCTTACCTACGCGAGATGCAGAACGCAGGCACCACCACCATACTTGTGTTGTGAGAGCGTGTGTGTGATGAGAAATGAAGAAAGGAAGGAATATCGCATGCCCTCGCGACTCGGTCGACATGGGTCGACATCCCCGGAGGCGCGATACGATTCTCGATCCTCGAAATGTCCCAGCTACTGAGTTGCCGGGGCGTGGCAAGACAGAAGACATGGCGCGACCCCGGCCTACATGCACGCCCCGGTGGTGTCGTCGCGGCAAGGCCTGGGCCTGTGCCTGTTGGCTTCTCTCCCGGCGATGCAACATGGACGGAGCCGGCAGCGGCCTAAGTGACGAGGTGTTTCACTGAACAGCTGCTTCAATAGTCTGGGCCTTGGACGTGGTTTCTTTATTCTGCATGTCGCCAGGGGAAATGGTTCTTATCCTGAGCTGAGACCATGACGACCACGTTACACACCTCTGTCGGTCATCGTTTGTGTTGCGTGCTTCACCAAGGCTCAGTCCAAATGGAAGACGTGTCCGAGATGAGATTAAGGGTATGAGAAGGTCCCCTCGAGTCTCCAGTTCGTCATGAACGACTAAGCCCGAGATTCCGAAAGAGAGAGAGCACTCAGTCTTGTCGTAGTACACTCTCGTGATACGGCAGAGGTCAGAAAGACAAAGATCGCTGGACGGAGATACATAAATCATTGGCAAAAGCTGCGAGGACGACTGGCTGTCTACCTTCAAGGTCATGAAGTCATCTGAGCCGGAGCCCGTATCAACAGGTGTGAAGAAGTGATGCTGCAAGTTCGCGCGAGACGCAAACGGCGATCCAGAAGCATTGGCTCGGTTGATAGATGGTAGAGCATGTCGAAGACACTACAATGTCATCTGGAAAGGGACCATGAGGTGCTAACCAACAGGCGGCGGCGAGCCATGTGTAGCGGGAGACCCTCAGGCTCTGGTTTCCCTTCAGTCGCTGCAGAGCACGTCAGCATGACGAAGAAGGCCTGTCTACCTGCTCGAAGCATGCCTATTGCATCAAAAATGCCGGTTTTCAGCAAAATGCTTAGGGACCATTGTGATTGAAGTCGAGGCAAGCTCGGGCTAGGACGGTGCCTGCCTTACGGAGTGTAGCGGCCGCCACTCGGTCTGAGTCATCCTGATTCACCTTCCGTCAGCCTCGACTCCACTCCATCTTGTAACGCAACTTCACGTCGCCACTTCACGGCAATATAACCATCGTCTACTTGACCGATCAGTCCGCACACCATCCATCCGACCAAATACCAACCTTTTTCAACAGGTCATACGTACTCTACACTCTATCAGATCACCGGCAGCTGGCCTTGCCTTGCCTTGCCTCTTCTCGCATTCTGTTTCTTGTTTTTCACTGTTCAGCTCATAGAATATTGAGCAATTTCCTTTCCATCACTGGCGACAGATCATCTGCGCCCATCATGATGTCGCTCGAGAAACAAGGAGGAATCACTCACCTCCAGGCCGTCAGTGAACCGCCGGCCCAACGAGTCGTCTCGAAGCCCACACCCGAAGCACAGAAGAAAGACCCGAGGGGCTACCAGGTCGAGCAGATACGCCGTCGTTTCTCGCCACGTGAAACGACACTGAGCGACGGCACCACGTCCCTCATCTTCCGCATCAAACCCTCAGACCCAGACTTTCCGTTCGACCTGGATTTCCTCGAGTGTGACCTTCACGTGCCAGAGGACTATCCCGAGACAGGCCCAGTTCTACACGTCAAGAACCGGAACATCCCACGCGGTTTTGGTATCAACGTCGAGCGCGGATGGGAGCGGATCGTCCGAGAGAAGCGCGGCGCCGCGACCCTTCTCGCCTTCACCCATGCCCTCGACAAGAATCTCGAGGTGTTTCTGTCGGAGCAAAAGGTAGAAACGGTCAAGCTCACCATCTTCAAGGATGACAGGCATGAGACGCCGTCCACCCCATCGTCTCAGTCGGCTGCCGTCGCACTGGAAGCCGCAACCCTTACACAGGCACCATCTGCGCCGCAGCCTACGAAACGTTATGTTCCTGATGAGCCTGCCTACACCCAGGAGCAGATTGCCGAAGCTAAAGCCCGCCGAGCGCAGGAGGCACGCCAGATCGAGACGCGCATGGGTCGGCTGAGTCTTTACCGGCGCTCCGCCGACGGTATTGTTTACACGTTGCCAATTGAGCCGAAGAGACGGTCTGAGCTTCCGGCTTCGTTGCAGGCCGTGAAGACACTGCATATGATTGTGCCGTTGCTGTATCCCCTCCAGCCTCTACGAATTCAGCTGAACGAGGTCGACTCGTTTGATGCCGAACCTGTCGAGGAACTGTTCATTCAGAAGGCTGCCGAGCAAAAGCAGATGAATTTGACCAGCCATCTGAACTACCTCGCCCAGAACCTACACGTGTTGGCCAAACAGGCTCAGGTTACAAAACAGAAGCAGGAAGCTGAGGCCAAGGCCAAGGAGAGTGCTGCACCAGCGGCTGCGGCCTCGCACACGTCTCAGGAGAAGCAGCCGGAAGGTTCGCTCGGCGACAGGAGTCACGTCAAGGTCATTCCACGTCCTCCCGAGTGGGCCACGGCTGCCGATGACTCGGACTCGTCCGACTATAGCTACGATTCCGACACTGGCTCCGATGCAGGCGGCGCCGCACTCGAGCACGACGATCCCGCAGCAGACTCGCCCGCGACAGCCGTCGCTGCCGACACACCTGAGCGAGGCACAGCTCTAACCTTTCCAGGCATTGAACTGCACAACATTGAGCTGTTCCAAGTCTCCCTCCTCAGCATCACAGCAAAGTGTGCTCGTTGCAAAACCTTCAACGAGGTGACCAACCTCCGCGACGGCGTAGAGCAGACCCTCTCCTGCCGCAAGTGCGCCGCCGGCCTTGCAGCCCGTTTCCGCGCACAGCTCGTCCATGCGCACTCGTCGCGTGCCGGCTTCCTCGACGTGGCCGGCGCATCAGTCGGCGACATGCTGCCATCGACTTTTATTCCAACATGTGCCAAGTGCTCAACCGCGGCACCGGGACTCGTCTCTATCAGAGGCGACGCCACCTCCAACGTCTGCCGGTCGTGCCACGCCAAGTTCACCTTCAAGATCCCCGACGTGCGCTTCCAAACGTACACGCCGGGCCTCCTCTCGGCGCCGGCGGCCGGGGTCGTCCGGGCCAGGGCCGAGAAGCTCGGGTTGCACGCGGGCGACCCGCTGCCGTCCCGGGGCGCGTGTGCGCACTACAGGAAAAGCTACCGGTGGTTTCGCTTCAGCTGCTGCAGCCGCGTGCACGCGTGCGATCGATGCCACGACGAGGCGGAAGATCACGTCAACGAGTGGGCGAGCCGCATGGTGTGTGGGTGGTGCAGCCGAGAGCAGCGTTACGCCGTCGACGCGTGCGGATTCTGCGGACGCAGCGTCATCGGGCGTAAAGGTCACGGGTTCTGGGAGGGAGGCAAGGGCACGAGAGACCGGGCGCTCATGTCGCGGAAGGACAAGAGGAAGTACAAGCGCGTGGGACCTGCAAAGAAGGAGTGATGTTGAAGCCTTGGTGACGCACCGGGGCGCAGGCGGCGGGTGCCTACTCGCTTGGCTGAGATGCCACCAGGCGACAGGTCACAATTTGAGCAGACGTGAATATCAAAAGTGCCAGCAGGGCTCAGGACGGATGCGTTGACATGTCGTGATCCAGATGTGCCGCTATCACAAACCATGGCCGTCCAGCACTGGCTTAACCCCTTTCCAGCTTCATCAAGGACGTCGCGGCACTGCCTAGACAGGCTGAGCTCGCGACACTGACAGGACACGGTGATGGCCCGCGTGTGATATTCTCTCAGAACATAGCCCAGTCACGACAAGCCAGTGACGGCCTCGAGGAGCAGCCCTTCGCCGGACATACCAAACCGCAACACCCCCACGCCTCGCAACCGCCTGCGACACAGATCCCAAGATAACCACCTCTCACCAGGGCCATCACACCTCCCCCCCAACGCCCGAAACAAGAGAAAAGGGGAGGGTCACCACCCAACACTGAAGGACTTCTGTCCAGCACCACCATCTCAGCCGCGCACCCGCGCGTGTCGCACGCGGCGCTGATTCGTCCGTAGACCTCACCACGCGCACACAGCGGCACGCCTATCAGAGTGGTGTTTCGACCACCCTTTTCGCATTTCGCGCGCTCTCATTGGGGGAGACAGAAGAATAAAAAACCAAAAACCAAAAAAAGATTCCGAACGACCATCCTCAGTGGCTGTGTGGGTTTCTCTCGACCCGCGCTTTCTGAGAGGACGGCAGGCCTGGAAGAATGTGCGAGGTGAGAGAGAGAGAGAGAGAGAGAGAGAGAGAGAGCGCCGTGGCGACGCGCTGATACGAGAGCTCGTGCTGCGCGGCGCGTCGAACTGTGTGATGCGATCTTCGGCCTCCCGCCTATCGCGCACGCGCTGTTGCCGTTTTCCGCGCGATGATCCTGTCGCAGCACATCTTCGTTCCGCCAGTCCGACATGACGGTGTGGATAGTACCAGTTGTATTATTATTATTATTATTGTTAAATTATAATTTTATTAGTTTCCCTTTTCCGCCTTTTCGTCGCGTTGCTACAGAGGACGACATGCTCGACCCCGAAACAGCAACAGGGGAGATTCTGGGGAATAATCCCACGAATCCGATGCCTCCATCCGCCGAAGACGTGCCCGGCCCCCCATTGTGACCATCCCGGGGAAGACAACCGGGGCGATCAAGCCCTTTTGGGTGCTTGACATGCCCCCCCGAAACGCACCCGAAAGCATCCCAGCAGCGCGGGCCGTATTGGGCAGACAGGCAGACAGCAAGAGGCAAGGGGAGGCGCATGCGAATCCCCACGTCCTTCGCCCATCAATCACCGTGCATACGTTGGTCAAGCACGGAACCCTGAATCACCAACAATGGAATGGCACGCTGTTCCTCCTGTCAAAGTGCCTCCTCCTGCCAAAGTGCCTCCTCCAGGCCAGCGCACCCGCGAACCCGCCCATCGGCATGCCGCGCCGTCGTAGCGGAGGAAGGACAAAGGACGGGCTGCACCAACACGCCTGGTTGGCAACTGGTAGCCACTACCAACCCGTTCCGTCGGGACATGGAGAGCAGAGGAGAAACCTCGGATCTCCCCATCTCGCACGAGTTCGCAAAGAGGGACGGCAAGGGACTGAATGAGAGGGGCCCGGGCGGAACGATCCAAGTAGGAGGGCGGGACAGCCAAGAGCGACATGGAGAGGGGGCGCTCGGCAGGCATTCTCGCGAGCAGCTTCGCGGGCCACACATGGCACATGGCACATGGTACATGGTACATGCCGTGGGCAGCGATGAGGCGCGACTCTTCCGACGACCGGCAGTGGTGACACCAAAGTATCCATGTACGCCCTCGCCTTCTTCTCGAACGAAATGATGGGATCATGGACGAGGGGGAGGACCAGGGGGACCGCCGCCGGCCGGAAGGAGAGGGAGACGACGCAGATTGAACGAGCTCACGGGCGGCCGGTCAAATATGCCAAGGGGGGCTGCGGGGGATCCCTGCGAGCAGCGCGCAGAGGTTCCAACACGGTCTTCTACCCCAGGTTTCATTGGGTTCATTCTTGCATGACAGG